CCAAAAACCAAAGTTTTTAACAAGTACTAGCAGAGCACACTAAACTGCATATACAGTCTGTAGAGGCTAAGCCTGCGCTTGAAGCCAGTGAGGTGTTCGTGTGTGTGTCTACCTTAAATACATTCCCACAGACACACCATATGTAAAACACAAAAGGTGACCACTAGCGCCATACATAAGGAGCAATTTAAATCTGCTACTCGTGTTCCTCTTTAAAACTTCTTTAATCACGCATTTTCTTGTCAAGATGAGAAAAACATGGCATCGAGCCTGCAGACTCACCTGAGGAACAGGTAATCACAGGTTGAATCCCACTCACAGTCATCAAACATCAGCACCCGAAAGTCGCAGGATATACACCTCAGCTGGTCACATGATCTATTGGTATACAGTCAGTTATTATTTGCAATAGGCAATGAATACACACTATAGGTAATCACTCATTGGTCTATAATCATTTGAAAATGCACCGTGGTATAATTTATTTAAACTAATAAAAAGTATGTTGTGGATCCTAGAGTTCTACATCTTTATAAACCAGGACCAGACGAGACCTGACAGACGCTCTCAGTATGAAATTACTTTTTCACACCTCTTGGATGCGGCTGTTCCGACACCATTTGCGACAGAGCTCCCGCCAATAAAAACAGGACAGCACCTGGATGCAGAACACGCAGTGCAGATTGTGTCCAGACAAACAGAAAGAGCAAGAAAATCAAAATCCTGCATAAACAGGATACACAGCCTGAACAAACACACAACCTGGTTGTTACTTTTATATTTAATATAAAGACTTTTATCTGGCCACTGATACGCTTCCACATAATATGTTACTGACTTTTATCTTGGTTAACTATCCTTCATACACTGATTTAGTAAATATCCAAACTTATGGCACATGTAGAAATACTAACTCAGAGACAAATGCAGTTTAACTTCCTTGCATCCTGTGATTATTGCATGCCTGCATGTTTTTGTTGTTTGTTTGTTTTTAATTTTGAATAAACTAAAAGACTTACTTTCTTCCTCCTGACTGAGATGGAAGCCTCTTTTCCACATGTGGCCCTTTAGGAAACTGCTCAGCCTAAAATGAAAGGTTAAAAAAAGAAAAAGAAAAAAAAGAGTTATTTCTTTCTTAAACTGTGAATAGAATTCAACCAAATAAAACCTACATTTATCGCCACCTGCTCCTCCCCATCCCTCTTGTGTATGTGTAGTTATAATCAAGTAGAGCTGTCACAAAGAGGACATTTGAAAACCCAGGTGTATGTTTATGGCTCTTACTGTTTATTCATAATGCAGGTAAAGATTTGGAGATGAGACAGGTGCATCATAATAATGTCTGACTGTGAAGGCAGAAGCTGAACCTAGATATCGGCACTTCACTTTAAGTGTTTCACATAATCGTATTCTTCCACCTGCCTCTTCTTAGAACCCGCTCCTGGTGCCTGAGCTGCATCCTCTTTGTACCAAACGTAGCTGGTCACAGCCAGTTTTAGTGTTGTGGGTCAGAGTGACCGAGTTTCCCTCTGTCAGAGGACCAGAGCGGCTGAGTCATGTGTTATTTAGAGGATCTGAAAAATAATTTGGACATAAGAATTTGAGCCGTACCTAAATTAATAGATTTTGCCCCCACTTGAAAAAAAAAAATCCTTTGAGTATCTGGTTCTCCAGCTTGAAATGCTCCGATGTGTTTACCTGCTGGTCACTAACTTTCTTTTTATTGGTCAAATTGGTTGATCATAGCTTTTCTGTTAAATTGATGCTGAACTGAACAATTTCTAAGGCACAAAAGCAAAACAGAGGAAAAAATGTAACAAATTACATTCGCAGGGAACTACAGTGTATTAGGAACAGATATTTCCTGTGTGTGTGTGTGTGTGTGTGTGTGTGTGTGTGTGTGTGTGTGTGTGTGTG